AAAAAAAAAAMTATTTCTTGAAGACRTCAGAAGGACTGTATTAGCTACAGAAGGAAATGAGAGTGTTTTCAGTAGACCAATGCCACTCTAAGTTAAGAATTGGGAGTGTGATTTGTAAAACAAGTGATCAGTCTTTCAGATGCCTAGTTCCTGTTATTGAAATGTTATTGAATTGTAAAGCACAAACTGTGAACATGCCTGTCCTTCCAAGGCACTACCAAAGGCTTACTTCTTTCCCTGTTTGTTTCCCTAGAATAAGTCTGTCTCTTTTTTGCCCCTTTTTAAGATCTCAGGTTTAATAGATTCTTTCTCCACTGGTCAGTGATGCTATAGCAAAGCTTCAGCCCCTTCTGTTCCACCTTTTGGACCTTCTGTGAGGCTGAGGCTCTTCCCTTAAAACACATAATATCCACTTTTTCTATTTCAAAATGTATCCCTGTATCCTTCCTACAGATCTAAAAGGTTTCAGAAATGATTGCTGATACACACAGACACCATCAGCTCTGTCTGGGAGGTGTGAAGGACCCAGACCTGGGTATTTTGTCATCCTCATGGGCTCCTTCTCACCTCAAAATGGGACACACATTACCAGCACACGTGTGGCTTTTATCTCTGGCGGAAAAAACCCAAAGCAACCCAACAAAGTAAGAAAATAAGCAATCAAACTAAACAGAAGAAATAATTCTGCTAATAAAAATGAAWAATGTGTTAGGGTGTTAATATTTCATTTCCTGCTCTAAATTGACTTAGATTTGGTAACACCTGTTTAAGACCTTCTAGTGAAGACTGCCAAGGAATCTTCCCAGRCAATGAAAAAGGCATGTGGTGGTTACTCTGTTGGCAGAGCATCCAGAGAACAAATATCCTCAACACTGCTGTGGTTTAATTACACTTACAGTATAATTAAGTTAGGGCAACCAAGAGCTTGGAAGGAGTCTTTACTGTCTTAACCATGAATGAATAAACAAATATAATGTGATTTTTCTTGACTATAAAGACAAAAAAAAAAAGAAAATTGGAGGAGGTCAGGACAAAAGGCATGAAGCTCTTTTTTGTTACCATCCAAGAGAAAGACAAATCTGCCCTCATGGTCTCACAAGAACTTCTGTAAATCTTTCAACACTGCTTTGCAAATCTTTTGAGCTGGCTGAGTGTTTTCCTTAAGAAGACAAGTTCTGATTCAGAGAGCAGGAGTTAGCAGGGCTTCATGYGTGCAAGCATTGAGCAATCTTGCTCTTCAGCACCCTTGCCTGAGGAAACGATATTTTGGGTTGTCAGGCCTTGTCTTTAAAGTCTTAGGAATGGCACATGAATACACAGTTGACAGTTTTGCACTTTYAGTCCTTCCCTTCTCCCACTAAAACACAGCAGGGCTGTTCCATCCCTGTGATCGCAGCCCCAGGAGCCTCTTTGTTCTGTCACTAAGGTGTCCCATGGGAACTTCACCTTCCACCCTCTTCAAAGTGTGCAACCCTTCTCCCTGACCCATCATTCCTCACACACATCACTCATCTGTCACTCATCCATCAGCACAAACAGGGCAGGGCTCAGCAGGTGTTGTGGCCAAAGCAGTGGACTGGTACTCAGGAATTTTTGATTGACCTGGCATGGAGTAAAGGTTTGTGACTTGAGGCATTCTGATTACTGGGAATATTCATATTGTCACTAAACACTGAATATGTCATCAGAAACAGTCCAGTTCTGGGTTTAGCAYGGGAAATAAACACCACACTGAAGTATAAAAAGGTGGACATTTTTCCAGTTTTGCAAGGGTTTGCCACAAAATGCTAAGAAATATTCCATGTTTATATATTTCAAAAATAAAAGCTATATTTTTTTTAAATAAAGAGCTGGTTTCCATAGGCCATGTGCTCAGCTGATACTGATTTATGTGACTCAGAGATAAAAAACTGAGTTATTCCAAAGTACGGAGACTTCAATTTATTTTTATTCCTTGAGACAATAAGCTCTTCAGATAAAAATGGCCCAATTCTGACACCAGTCTGAAAGGGACATAGCATTCCACCAGACTCATCAACACCCAGCATTTTACARCTACATTACTGGTACAGGGAGAACATCCAACATTATTTTCATTGCATTTACATTCATACTTTGTCTGGAGAAGGGGAAATATTTTAAATTAACCACCCCAGATTTTCAGTCAACACAAAAGACAGAATTTCAGAAACCAAGCTAATTCCCACCTATTTGCACAGAGATGTACAGAACCAGAGAGCAGATGACTCACTGTGAGACAGACTRTGGAAAAGAGACCCTATATGAACAATATGCATGAGTGTTTGCAATAGAAGGTACATTCTATCTTGGAAAGAAAAGCTATGTTAAGGCAGCTATTTTTAAATCTGCAAGCTATCAAAGTAGGTTTTGCTGTGTCACTTCCATTTAAGATGACTCCTTGCAGTTAGATAGAGTTGGAGAAACAAAACCCACAAAGCGAAGGTTGAAAATAACACTGGAGACAGTAACATTCTTCAGGAATGTTWGGCTTCCTACTAGCAGTTTCTATATATGTACTTTTTAAAAGTCCTTTGTGCTGGAATTATGTGTTTGTGATAGGTGCTGGGTTATGACGTATATGAATCCATAAAATACTCTCACAAAATGAAGCAAAAGTCCCAAAAAGGACAGACCSCTGAAAGGGGGGCAAGATTTTCCTCAGCAGGCATGCTCTGATACAGGAGGTTGTGTTTGGAAATAAAAGATGTTTTATCTTTGGTGCCCATGCCATTGGCTCCCAGCCCAAGATGGACGTGAGGAGCAAAGATGGCCAAGAAAAGCAATCRGACCTTTTGTGCCATGGACACTGCGGTCCCAGAGCTGATGGACAAGGGGTAACAAAAACACCCCGATGTCTCAATGTACCAACAAATGGTAACAATGTCAGACTGGTCTGACTCAACTGCCAACACAGAAATTAAAAYGAGTAGATTGTGTTTCCATCCCCTCCAACCATGCTCCGTGGAGCCAATGCTAAATATAAAGATAAACTGGGAACCAGCCCCATCTTTCTGTGCTAAAAGAGAAGAGTGGTGATGTTTTCACACTGCCTGCCTTGTCAAAGATGTGTGCTGATGGCCCCTGCCACTGAACACAACTCTTTGTGGCCCATGAACCCTGGTACACA